TCCTCTTCCTTCGTTAATCCCTCCACAATCCTCCACCATTCTATATAATTTATTACACGTACCAAATAAAATGGGCCAAGTGAAAAAAAATTGTAAAATCATTCTTTTTTTAATTGTCTGATGAAATTTTACTTCAATTACGGCTTTGCTTTTGGAGGCTGGGGACCGATTTGTACGGACTAGAGAAGACAAAATAATATTTACTTACTGTGGTCGATGTGGCCAATAATACTGATATGGAGATGAAGTTTCTTCCTCTAGAACATGCCATAAGTAGCTCACATTGTGAAGGAGCGTTGGTGGTGAAAGTATTGAAGAAGCCGTGGGGGAGAAGAATTGAAGATGGAGATGGTTGAAGTCTGAAACACAGGACAGCATTTGTGTCATTTTATTTTCCAATGACTCTCTCTCCTATCGCATTATACCCAGTTCATTCCCAGTGTTTGTGCTTAGTAAGAAAGTCATGTCACCCCACTAACGGCAAATTCATATTTCATAGACTGAAGGACTTCCAAAGGTAACGAAGCATACAATAAGGAGTGGATAAAAGGGCAAAAAAAAAATGGAGGGAGCTGATTCAAAATTTGATGAAACTACTGGGACCGACAGATTAGTTTTTCCAAATTAAAATTTAATCTGCGTTTTAGGTGGACTTAAATACAACTTCAAAGGGCCATCGTCCACTATCAGTTGCGTGTATCCGAGTGTTTTGCCAGTTTTCCCAAGATCTCAGCATGGAGCTCTCAGCTCGGAACAACTTCGTAGCACTCATTGTGGGCGTTACTGGACTGACAGGCGTTAGCCTAACCGAAACCTTGAGCCGTCCTGATTGTCTCGGCACCCCCTGGAAAGTTTACGGTGCGGCTCGCCGTCCCCTTCTGCCCTGGTCCCCGCCCTGCCTCCTCCACCATTTCATCACCTTCAACGCCCTGGACACCCAGTGGAGTGGAGGGGAGGGGAGGTTAATTAAAAGAAGAGGAGGTGAAGGGAAGTCATGAGTTTTGTTTGGTTGGAGGGGAGGAGAAAAAAGGGGAGATTTTTTATTTGGTTCATAAAGGGAGGGGAGGGGAGGGGAGGGAATTATAAATTGACAAATATGCCCTTATCTTTATATTTATACTGATTTATTCTTTTATTATAATATTTATATCAAAATTATTATTTCCGAATTTATCAATTTCAAAAAAACCAATTACCTCACTTATATATGATAAAAAAATTATGAAATAAAAATATAATATGTATTAGAAAAGTGAATAGGAGAAAAAAAGACAAAACTTTAACTATATAATAATACCCTCCACATATTAGGAAATAAAAAATATATATGATATTATCAGTGCCATTTTATAATTATAATATATATTAATATATATAATTAATTAATATATTAACATATATGCATATTATATTTGTGTGTATATATAACTGAGTGACTGCGGAAGGGAATGCGAAGGTAATCATGATAAACTAAAAAAATATCAAGAGGACACCACTGAAATATTCAAAAAATAACATGGGCATATTTATCAAGATTCTCATAATATTTTTCTCTTTCAAAAACTCTCAATTTGAGAGGGGAGGAAGGGAGGGGAGGGTTTAGCTCCCCTCCCCTCTCCTCCCTTACTCTCCCCTCAAAAAAAACCCCAACCAAACAAAGTCTGAACGGAGCTATGCTAGGCAACGTGCTCAACGTCCTCAGGTCCTCTCCCTCGCCACGGCTCAGCCATAACCGGTACCAAGCACTACATGGGGCCCATTTGCAACCCATTCCATTCTCCCCACCTCGCCTCTCACGACCCGCCCTTCCGCGAGTCCATCCTACGCGCTCGAAGACCTCGTCGCCTCCTACGCGCCGTCCCTCACCTACTCCGTGCACCGTGCCTCCATCATGTAGGCGCGTCAACAAGGGGCACGCACAACGCTCTGCTTATGCTGGCGGCTTACGCCGCCGTCTGCCGCCACGAAGGGCTGGCGTTCCGGTACCTGGCGAACAGGTACACGCGGGAGCATTTCTGCGACATGACGGACGCAGGGGTGCTGGCGGAGCAACACGTGTGGGCGGCGATGACAGAGAAGGCCAAAAACGAAGCGTTTAATTGCACGAACAGTGATTTCTTCACGTGGAAGACGATGTGGAAGGTGCTTAGCGAGGAGTTTAATGTTGAGTTTGTGGAATATAAGGAAGAAGAGTTTGATATAGTGGAGATGATGAGGAAGAAGGGTGATGTTTGGGAGGAGATAGTGGAGAAGCATGGGCTTTACAAGACGAAGCTGGAGGAGATAGCGAGCTATCATCCTTTCAAAATTGTGTCAAATTTCAAGTTTCAGCACGTGTCCAGCATGAATAAGGGTAAGGAGTTTGGGTTCTTGGGATTCGCTGGTAGCTTCAGCAGCGTCAAGATGTGGATCGCAAGGCTCAGGCACATGAAAATCATCCCTTGGCCCTACGAGGAAAAAGAACAAAAACAGAAAAGAAGAACAAACGAGATAAGGAGGAAATGGCAGACGAAGGCAAATTAATGAAACGACCGTGCATGTGGGGGCCACTACTGGGCGTCGGCCGTAATGGTGACAATGGTTTTCCGCAGTGGGCGCCCGATGCCCAAGTAATGTCAAATATTTCTGATATAAACGGAGATGTGAGTATATAAAATGATCTGGAAAAACATATTCAGCATAAATTGATATAAACGGAGATGTGAGTATATAATAATTTTCTATCCACTTCCATTAGCTACTTTCTCCTGCATCTTCATTCTCCTTTGACCGTGGGACTTGTTTAACTCACCAAATTATTACATAAACAGAGATACCCGCAGTACCTATCAAATTTAATTGAGAGGAGCATTATTTTTAATTCTATAATGATTTCTCTGGGGCACACATTTGATTTTTTTATTTTAATATTTCAGGTCTGAGGCTTGAGATGACGCAGACATCCAAGTCTCAGTTTCATGATGCTCCTCATCATGCTCAACACGACGAACCACTGATGGATAGAATCACCATAATTAAAGCCGGAAATTATATGGGTGCGGGAAGCAACTAATTAATCCAATTTACTTTTGACTATTCTCATATATAACTAAAAGGTATTATAAACCTAGACTCATGAACGAGCATGGTCGTTAACTTGATTTCAAGGAGGAAGCACCGAGTCCCACCCGCTGCGCTTTCATTCGCCTCGGGGACGGTCATTCTGTCTGCTACTACATCCACTTGGCATATGATAATTGCCAAGATCTGATCTCGCTTTAAAAGGTCTGAAAGGTAAAGTCTCTCTCTCTCTCTGCTCGATTTGATTTAAAAAAAAAGGGGAAATCACAAATAAAGACCCTTGAATTAGCAAAATCACTCTATGGTCACCTGAATATGCTAAATTACTATGAGGGACCTGGTCTCAAATTGTAATTATAAAATCATGGCCAAATTACCAAAATATCCCTCTTTAATTTTTTTTAATAGTGAAAGCCACTGCCTCACCGGAATCCGGCCACCGGCGCCGGAGCTCCGGCGGCCACTTCCGGCCACTGTCGCGGTCGGACGTCGGGGTCCGGCGGCCGCTTCCGGCGGTCTTCCTTTATTTTTTTTTTGAAACTGTTTTTTTTTTAAATTGGGGGGAAGTGAGGTTGGGGGGATCAATATCCCCCAACCTAATGCTTCCCAAAATAAGGAATGACCATTGAGCCAACAAATTTTTGTTAACATTATGATGCAAAAAAAAATATAAGTTAACTCATTTACTCTTGTTCCAGGTGATAACAACAATACATTTGGAAATAACAAGTTCTGATTGTAAAATAACATGTCTGGAATAAAAATTTAACAATATGTTTTTTTTATAACAATAAATTTTGTTGCAGGCAATAACAACAATACATTTAAAAATAATAAGTTCTGATTATAAAATAACAAGTTTGGGATTAAAATTTAATAACACGTTTTTTTTATAACAATACACTTTGTTTCAAGTGATAACAACAATACATTTAAAAATAACAAGTTCTGATTATAAGATAATAAGTCTAGGATTAAAATTTAACAACACGTTTTTTTATAACAATTAATTATTTTATACTTTTAAAAAATAAATTATTTATAACTTATAAAAATATTTTTAATATATTTATTTCTCTAAAAAAATACTTTTTAATCTGTATATCTATACAACTCATTATAAATCAAACTACTTCTTATAAATTATAAAGTATTTATAATAAGGCATTTTTGATTTATTAATCATAGTATAAATTTTATATTATTTCATTCTTTAAATATTAAAAATATTTTTTATATTTAAAGAATAAAATAGTATTTTTAATTATAAATTAGAGATAAATTTCATTTATAAATTTAAGCAGTCAAAAAGTATTTTTAATCCACAATAAATTGTACTATTTATAATTTATAAGAAGTAGTTTGATTTATAATAATTTGTATAGATATATAGATTAAAAATTTTTTAAAAAAAATTAAAAAAGTGTGTTGCCATTTTCCCTAAATTTTATTTATAAATTTGAACAATAAAAAAGTATTTTTAATCTATAAAAAATTATACTTCAAGTTCTGATTATAAATTGGAGATAAAAATTATTTTTTTAGCAAATTAAATAGATTACAAGTACTTTTTATAAGTTATAAATTAAATAGATTACAAGTACGCCGGGGTCCGGCCGCCGACAGTGGCCGGAAGTGGCCACCGGAGCTCCGGCGCCGGTGGCCGGATTCCGGTGAGGCAGTGGCTTTCTTTTTTAAAAAAAAATTAAAGAGGGGTATTTTGGTAATTTGGCCATGATTTCATAATTACAATTTGAGACCGGGTCCTTCATAGTAATTTAACATATTCAAGTGACCATAGAGTGATTTTGCTAATTCGAGGGTCTTTATTTGTGATTTCTCCAAAAACAAAAGTCATAGACCGACAAAATGCGAATATTTATATATATATATATATATATATATATATATATATATATAAATGCTTGTGCCGGGGATAAGCACCAAAGTTTAATCTGTGGCCTTAAACGACGCAGCTACCCATTAAAAACCATCATCCTCTCCCACTACTGTGCCGTCGGGTCGTCCTCAGTTCTCAGCATGGAGCCGCAACCTCAACCTCACAACAACTACGTTGCACTCATAATCGGCGTCACCGGATTAACAGGAGTCAGCCTAGCCGAAGCCTTGAGCCGCCCTGATTGTCTCGGTGGCCCTTGGAAAGTTTACGGCGCTTCGCGGCGTCCTCTTCCGGCATGGTTCTCGCCCTCCCTCCTCCACCATTACATTACCTTGGACGCGCTGGACACCGAAGACACACGTGCCAAGCTCTCCCCGATCGCCCATGAGGTCACCCATGTCTTCTGGGTCACCTTCCAGATCCGAGAAGACGAAGAAACCAACGTCGCCATGAACGGGACCATGTTAACCAACGTGCTCAACGTCCTCAGGTCCTCTCCCTCGCCACGGCTCCACCACGTCACCATCCAGACCGGCACCAAGCACTACATGGGCCCCATCAACGACCCGGTCCGTTCTCGCCACCTCGCCTCTCACGACCCGCCCTTCCACGAGTCCATGCCCCGCCTCCCTTACCCGAACTTCTACTACGCGCTGGAAGACCTCGTCGCCTCCTACGCACCGTCCCTCACCTACTCCGTGCACCGTGCCTCCATCATCATAGGCGCGTCAACAAGGAGCACACACAACGCTCTGCTTATGCTGGCGGCTTACGCGGCCGTCTGCCGGCACGAAGGGTTGCCGTTTCGGTACCCGGGGACGAGGTACACGTGGGAGCATTTCTGCGACATGATAGACGCAGGGGTCCTGGCGGAGCAACACGTGTGGGCGGCGGTGACGCCGCAGGCCAAAAACGAAGCGTTTAATTGCACTAACGGTGATTTCTTTACTTGGAAGAAGATGTGGAAGGTGCTTAGCGAAGAGTTCGATGTTGAGTTCGTGGATTACAAGGAAGAAGACGACTTTGACATAGTAGAGATGATGAGCCATAAGGGTGAGGTCTGGGAGGAGATAGTGGAGAAGCATGGGCTTTACAAGACGAAGCTGGAGGAGATAGCCTGCTATCCTCCGTTCAAAGTGGTGGCGAATTTCAAGTTTCAGCACGTATCCAGTATGAATAAGAGTAAAGAGTTTGGGTTCTTGGGATTCGCTGATAGTTTCAAGAGCGTCAGGAAGTGGGTCGCAAGGCTCAGGCACATGAAAATCATCCCTTAAATTCCTGGGAAGATCGATTCCTAATATTCATAGTTTGTGTTTCTGTTTTCATGTTGAATTTCTGAGAGTGAACTTGATGCCATTAGTTCAAATAAGTAGTAAAAACATGGTCTTGTAGGTTGATTTGTCCCGGGTAACCAGAGATATCGATCTCAAACGAAGCAAAAATCTCCTGAGAGTGGTTCTTTCTGGCAATGAGCAAGAGAAGTAGAAGACGAGTGAAGGTGCCGTAGTGCCTCCTATGAACGAATAAAATCGTGCCATGTGGAAGCCACTCCAAATATGGAATGCGCAGCAGCTGATGTGCCTCTACGCACCGTTTCATCAAAGCTAGGAAGGATCTAGCCGTTTGGTGACGAGCGTTCATGACCGTTCCTTGAGACAAATGATGGTCTTCGCGCGGGCCGCCTAATCTCCTTTTTATTTCCCTCCCTGTTGGTGGTTTTTTTTTTTTTCCCCGTTGTTTCGTTTGTATCCGCAACACGTTGATTTTGGCTTTGTCTTAAATGTCATTACTTAATTAGGTGCTTTATATATAAACCGCAAAGATTAAAAATGAGTGGGTGGAGGCTGAAAAAGCAAAAGGATGGAGTTTATTATAAAAACTAGTAAAAATTGAAACACGGAAGCCCCCAATGGCAGATATACACATGATTTCGTCCACTAAAACCAGAGATTAGCCACGTCATCAACTGCATTCACCAAATCCTTTGACTCCGTCTCAAGGCTTCTCTACTCCCCCTGATTGCCATCACAAATTAAACAAACATCTTAGTTTACAAATTCCTCAACTATTTATTAACTTTAATTAATCAAATCGAACATAATTGGATCACCAGATTATCTGGGCCAGATGTACAGGCCGGTCTTCTTGGAGGAAGCTGCTGGTGTGGCGTTCTCTGCAAAATTCCAAAAAATAAACAAATATTTATTAGGCTAAGAAATATACAATTAAGACTAAGTCATAAAAAGGTTAATATCATTCAAACCTGAAGTTTTGGTCGCAACGTCTCTATGGCTGCTGTGGATTTTTTATTAACTCCGGCACCTTGCTGTTTTTTTTTTAAATATTAGAATTATTATTGATATTTAATAGGGCGGAAAAAAAAAATTTTAAAAAGGGGGGGAATTTGAGTTTGACCAACGATTGGCTAACCTTGCATAATGCCCAGTCTGCTGAGTCAAAAAATGCCCGCTCGTGATCCTTGACCCAAGAAAAACGATTTAAAAATATTATATTATAATAATGTTGGCGTCACGTGCATGGCACGGGACTTGACAAGTGATAAGGAATGAGAACGTGTGACCGGGCTTACTTTGGAAATTAAAGGCTTCTTCTTGGGGGTAAGGCCACCGTATTTGTTTCCCGTGGACGACGTTTCCTGTCAGCACCAAAATAAACAAATTGAAATACATTACTTTAATAAAAATAATTATTTAACCATCGTGGAGCAGATCCTGTGCTGTGATTTCGAGTTCAATTTTGAAATCATAACGTTCAACTAATTTGCACATGCTTTGCTTTTTGTCTTTGAACTGTGGAAGAAGGAGAACACGACACAACATCATCAACGTTCTGGAAGTTTTGAAATTAATCTACCCCACCAAAAACCAAACAAAGAAAAGGCAACATAATAATTTGATTTTTCTAAAAGAAAATCTACAACCACTAATCCACCAGGAAAAAAAAAACCTGCATAACAATTAACAAACAATTTTCTTGGGAGAATAACGCAATAAAAAGAATCTATAATATCTACCAAAAAAGGAGACGAACAGCATAATGATTTGATTCTTCCCGTCATGATATTCAATAATTGCAATAATTTTATTTAAATCAAAATCAATTAATGATTTTCTTTGTCCTGTTTCGATAAATTCAGGTGGAGAATTCCAAATTACTTCCTCGACCTCCATGATCATTTACTTGTCCATGGGATTAGGCCAAAACAATACGTGGGCGAGACTTTTATTTATTTTATTCTTTTGTGTTGGAATTTTTCTTAATTGTAATCAAATGTTTGCATCTGACTAATTCCAAGGATTAACCCACAGAAAAAGAAAATCGTTTCGAGAAAGGGGGAAAAATCTTTTAGAATAAAACAATATATTCATTCAATGACACCAAACAAATTCGTGTTGTGCCAAATAAAGTGCGGTGAACGTTTAATAATATTTTAAATGAAATTAGCCAGACCAGAATGAAAATTATAATGTAAAATTACGTCCATGTCCCTACAAACGTGGCGAATAAAAAAATCTAAAAAACGTGTGGCAGCCCTGCATTGTGCCACACCAAACAAAACCAAACTTTCTCTTTCCGCTGAGAATTGGAACATTCTGTTCCAAATCCCCACATTCCGTCGGTGATGACTAGTTTTTAGTAATTATTCTAATAATATACCACATGATTTTTTTCTTTTAATTCTATCGAAATTATATAAATCCTATTATTTTCAAAGATACTTCCATTATGATGTCATAATATACAAAAAATGCAAAGTGTATAATTTGACCCTTGAATGCCAAAGATTGTTTCTTGGCTGTGTTCTTCAGATTTAATCATTCTGATGTTACCCATTTAGAGAATGTGCGCAATGAGATTAAAAACAGAAACATCAGAAAACACTGGGGTAAGGTTACCTCAAGGTCCTGGGAGGCAAAATACTCGTCTCTATTGTAATCTGCCATCTCAATGTTCCCTGTGCAAGCAACAAACGATCAGGCTTTATTCAGAACAAAACAAAACCGCAGGGAAGCTTCACCTAAAATTCAATTCTGTGATTAGGAGATATCCCAGAAAGACAACCTCGGAAACAGATGAGCAGAAAAAAAGAAGCAGCGAGAGGGAATTAAAAATCTCAGAAAGAACAGAGCAAAAGCAGAGCAGAACAGAGCAGTCCCGATGAAGGAAGGAATAAACAATATCAGGAAGTGAACACCTTTTATAAGGGCGGAGAGAAATTTGAGAACCCAGAAAAGATAAGGAAAAGGAGAAGAAGCATAAAGAAAGGATCTTGATAATTACCTTGGAGTTAGAGGAAGGAATCTGAGATGCAGAGAAAGAGGAAGAAAGTGAAAGAAAGGAGAAAGGAGGGGGGAAGTTGAGTGAGAGGGTAAGACAAGAATATGAAAGTATTAAGTAGCTATTGAGAAATGGTAAGAGACTTACATGATATTAATATGCATGGTAAATAATTAACAAAGGATATTATCGAGAAAAATCCAATCTTGCAAACATTTGAGGAGTTAGGTGGAGGATTTCCAATGGATAACGGACTCCTCTAATTCTACTCTTAATTATTATTACTATTATTTTAAGATTTTTTGTTTGTAAGTGGGAGGGAGAAAAGTGAAGGTGGAATTGAAAAAAAAGCAGAGGGAAGGGGTAAAAGGGGGAAGAAGGAATGGGATTGGAGGAAAGATGAAAAGAGCCGTTAGAATATCAACATCGGTTGGTCCATGGCTTAGCCTGCACCGTACATCCTCACACATGCCAATCATCCTCATTACCGACACTTCCAAGTTCCCCCCTCCCTCCTCCTCATTCTTTCTCTTTTTTTCTTTTTTTCCTTCCTAATACTTCATCTAATCTTTAATATCAAATTTAGATAATTAATTTATTAATATTAAAAAAATTATTAGAAAAATGACAGAAAAATATTTAAAAATTACAAATCCCAAATCAGATTTGGTAACACAACTTTATTTGATATTGACAAATCTGAATTTGCAAATGACAATAAATTTTTATTGACATTTTTTATTTGGTATTTACAAAATTCCAACTTCTTTGTTTGTCATTGCTCCAAAATTATTTTAAGTAAGTTATTTAAAATTTTAGTTTTTTAAAATATTCTTTCTAATTATATGTATCATACTATCATTTGAATTATGTAACTAATGAGTAGGAATATTTTCAAAAAGAATTATAAATTTAGAAGATGAAAGAAATTTAGTTTTCATATTTACAGGCAAAGAAAACTTTTGTTCTGACTCTTATATTTAAAATTATATATAATATTTAAAGCAACAAATAGTAATAGTATTGTAAGGAGTTTTCATGACATTATTCATTTTCTTTTTAAGACATCCACACACTTCTCACTGTACCAAATACAATATTTGGGGTTTACAATCTAAGACTATTGAAAAATTAAATGTTGTGATTTAAAAAAATCTCGAATTATTTTGGCCTCCCTTCTGGCATCCGCCGCGCATTCGCTCGTTCGGAAGTCACAAGGTATTTACTTTTGAGTAAATATTCAGTTGGCGGATGTACTTGTGTGCGTTTTATTTTAATTATTTGCAACATGCAATAATGGCAGGCGGAGCATGTGTTTTGCGTGTGGCATTATGATTCTGCCCCCATGAACTTCACATATTTACATGTCCCGAATGATTACTGGCTACTGGGTCATGTTATTCGTACTTGATCTGCCCCCATCATTGATTCCCTCTATGTTTTTAATTATTTAATTTGATATTTATACTTTGGCTTCTGACGAGTTGGATTAAAAGTTTCTGTTTAAAATTTTATTTAATTAAAAAACCTAAATTTAAACTCTTATAATTATAATTTATTAGTATAATTTTTTTCTGTTATGTATATTATATCATTAATGATGTGTAACAATGACCAATATAAAAATCTTATATATATAATAAAAAATATATTGTACACAACAGAAGATATGTTTTGTAGACACTTAAATCTAGGTCATTTTAACCAAATAAATTTCTAAATAGAGACATTTTACCAAAATATCCCTTAACTTTTTTCTGCACAGGAGATTTCCTGATTTTAAGATATTTTTAATTTGATGTTTGGTTCGATGTATGGTTTTGATGGAAATTGATTATGTGCTGTAAAAGTGTCCGATGTACAAATGTACTTTTGTTTTAAATCTTGACTTTATTCTATGTTACTTATACTACCAATTAAGCATATACCTTGAACATACCTTCGTGTTTAAAACAATTTAAGAAATCAATAACAATACAAATTTGACTTTTATCAAATACACAAATTAAAACCAACTGGACGAATCTCCTAAATTTATATGAGTTGTAAAATAAGTTATTCTATTTCCTAATATTACAACTCCTTATACATTTTACATTTAAAATATTGATTTTATTTCAATTTATTTTTAGAACTGAAAACTTGATTCTTCAAGAACTCAAAAAAAAAAAGTGCAAAATTATACATCTGGTACTTTAATTTTATACTAAAGTTTTAATTTAATCCCTTCATTTTAAAATAACAATTATTATTATTTTGAAAAATAAAGTTAACATTTCAACATGTGAGAACGTTTTGCCAATATCAAAATTTCAATATCAGTATTTTTTTCTATTAATGGTCATTAGAAACAAAAATTGAAAAGACACTTTATAAAAGTCAAGGGATCAATATGAGATTCGGTGTATTTTTTTAATCGAAAAAGCGATTCTTTAGACTTTTAATATAAAACTTATTTAAGTAATTTAATTGTATTAAGAAAGTTGAGTAAATATTTAATTATAAAAAATATGATATGTTAGTCAATTATAAAAAAGATGATATGTTTTTCTTAAAATATCAGAATCATCTTTTGTAATATCATCCCTCCATCTCCTATTTGATTATGATTGAAGAAGTATCAATAAAGATAATTATAAGAAATAATTCTTATATTTAAGACTAAAATTAATTTAATAATTATATCTTCTATTAAAGATTGGACGAATATAATTTGTTGATTGTATCGTGATCAATAGATATCAGAATCAGCATGAAGCTTACTATCATCCACAGATTTGTTGTTATATTTTATTTATGTCATAATTACGAGGTTGAAAAGACAAAACGCAGTGAAGAACACATGGTCCGCCTCCATGTACCTATTTTTTGAAGCTGGATACAGGCCAAGAAGATGACCGACACTAAAAACAGAACTTGGCCCTTGCGGAGGGGAAAAAAAACAAAGAACATACCAAAATTGTTTTCCATAAGAGAATTTCACCTTCTTAATTATTTAAGTAATAATTAATCAATTCTATATAAATCTCCCAACTCTGGAATTACAATGAAAAAAAAATGCTCCTGACCAGAAAAAGATGCATATAAAAAGGCTTTAATTTATAATATCTGGAGATATTTAGGCCGACATCAAACACACGCAAATTTGTCAGATAAATTATTCATCATTTCGAATGAAAAGATTTCAAACTCTGAAAGATAGTTAGTTTTGGTTGGCCATCTATCGTAACCCTATCAACTGCTGCCAACTGGGCATGTTGCCGCCATAACCCTATCTTCATTCCTGCCCCTCTTATCTAACGTAGCCATCAAATAATTGAGATAGAAACACAGAGAGAAGGGGGAAAATAATATTCAAAGTGGCCAACTAACAGCACACTTGAAGCAAACTATAACCATATATATATCATTCCGAATATATCAAACACTTTCAATATCTTACAGTACAGAGATAAGATGAGAGATTATTAACACGCTGATTATATCTTGGTGTGTGCGAGACAAGTGCGGGGGGACAATTGAAAGCATAAAATTTAGGAAAAATCACACACAGATCTCACAAAAGACAATTAATTCAAAAAAAGTCCATGAAAATCCCGAAATGATTCCTAAGTCCCCAGGGACCTGTGTGTAATAAATTACAATTGTGAAATTACCTATTTAGCCCTATTAATTTTATTGCAGCAATTCATTTACACTCTTAACAGTGACTGTTGACAACCCGAGGAGAAGTGGTTAACAACCTCGGTAGCGTTCCTGACAACTCACTTTGTAGGATACCAATGGCATTGCCGAGATTGTTAACCACTTCTCCTCGGATTGTCATCAGCCACTGTTGAAGTTTTAAATGAATTGTATTGGGTTCAAATAGGTAATTTCATAATTACAATTTATCACACACAGGTCCCTGGGGATTTAGGAATCATTTTGGGATTTTCAGAAACTTTTTCTAAATTAATTATCTTCTGTAGGAGCTGAGTGTAATTTTTCCTAAAATTTAAAGGGTCAAAATACTTATTTCACCTTGATCATACTTCACATGAATGGCTGGGGTTTTCAAATTAGCCAGGGAAGTTTAAATGTCCAAGAATAAGGGCACAAGATAGGCCAGAAAAAGACCTAGCCTTGTTAATTTGTCAGGTCTTTGGCATACACAAGTGCAATTGCAATGGACCATAGCTTCAACTTGATTTCAAAATAATCAATCAATACCTCAATACATCAACTTGCCAATAATGCAATTTGTTGCATCATTATTGGCTTCCAAACTTATTTAGACTCTTTCCAACCCCTATTTTACATTTGCAGTAAAAATACTTTGACTTGCACACTTCACCTACATAACAGCACTTGTCCACAAATTTTCTTTTTTTCCTGGACATCGTAGTCAGACCATCTTACAAATTGCCACCTATAATAATACTCTATGCTACACTTGAGAATGACATTTATTTTTTGGCTTCTCAAATTGGGAATGACAGGCAAGAACTTAGCTACATCTATCAACAGTTTGGGTTGACAAATATAATCATTTTTTGTTTTAAGGTTTGATTTCTTGGGAAGTTTGGACGGAAATGGAATGTTTGAGATCACCGATGTGAAGCTCGTGGTCGCCCATTGGGATTCTTCGAACCCCAAACTCGTCCACGACACTGAGGTGGTCGCACACATGAACACCAACCTTAACTCGTTGCTTGGACCCAGCAGGCACATGAACCTTATGGAACCCTACCAACTGCTTCGTGTCGGACCATTTTCCAGAAGGTGGCTTTGAGTATACGAGAACTGTGTGGGTGCCGTCCATTTTACCTTCGTTCTTCACATCGACGTGGAGTCCTAATTCCAGGGAATCACAATTCGCGTGGCTGACCTTTAATGCATTGCTTGAAACGCTGCTGGAGTTTGTGAGAGCCTGGAGGCTGGCTAAAGGAACAGAGACTTGTTTGGGAGCAAGGGCTAGGGTGTGCCTGAATCTGGTGTAGCTCAGCCCATGGCCGAAAGGGAACACCACCGGACCCTTGTAGAATCTGTAGGTCCTTCCCGGGTACCCTCTTGCTGGGTTTGGTCTCATGTCCATTACTGTCATTGGCACTTTGGCCACATACTCCTGTGGGTACCATGTCATCGGAAGCTTTCCTCCTACATTAATCATAGTAAAAATATAAATAAATGCTTCTTGATTATAATCAATTTCAAAACAAAAATAATAGCTGGGTATAGTTCTTGTTTTTTGTTTTTTTTGTTTTATTGATACTCTACCTGGGTTTGTTGTGCCAAACAGCACATCAGCTATGGCGGTTCCTCCGGCCTGACCAGGGTAACCCACCCACAAAATAGCACCGATCTTGGGATCATTTTTGGCAAAAGTGACATCAACAGGCCCACCAGACATAATAACCAGAACAACCGGGCCTTTGGAGGCCCGGGCCACTTTCGATACAAGCTCTTGCTGGCTGCCCGGTAGTAGAAGCCCAACTCTATCCCTAAACTCAGCTTCTATGGATTGGTCGAGGCCCACCACCAAGATCGTCGCATCCGCATGCCGTGCAGCTATCTCCGCCGCCCCAAAGGCCTGGTTTCCTTTACACATAACATCCCTACATCCCGTGTGATGAACAGTCTTAACATATCTCGCAATCCCTCGCAAAGGCGACGTGTAACCACATGCCACACCTATATATAAAATTAACCACATATATTTTAGATCCAAAACTTCAAAGAATAATAATAATGGATTAAATGAGCTTTACTTACCTGCGTAGTTTCCTATCATAGTAGTAGTGACATCAGAGTTGGGTCCAATGACCGCTACGGTGCGGTGACGTGCGCGGGATAGTGGGAGAGTGTTTCCTTTATTTTGGAGGAGAACAATGCCCTGTCTGGCGGCTTCAAGGGCGAGTTGTTGATGGGCCGGGGTACACACATCTCTTGGGCCTAAGTGTCCATATGGTTGGGCAGAGGGCTCGCCGTCGAACATGCCCAATCTCATTTGAACCGTAAGAAGATTAGCCAAGGCGAGGTTGAGATCGTTCTCTGAGATGCGGCCCAATTTGATGGCATCTGCTGCATGAAGTGCCAGGAAAGGCCCACAATCCAAGTCCAAGCCCGCTTTGATGGCGTCAGCAGCGGCCTCCTCGGGCGTTTGCGTGTAGTGTTGAGTGTCATACATAACCCCAACTGAATCACAATCGGACACTATGTACCTGATCACCAAAGCAAATCCAAGTCAACCATATGCCATAACTAATGTCATTTCTAAACTTATTCTTACATTTTTTTTAAAATTAATATATTACTAAAATTTGGAATAATAAAAAGAGGGAGTAGGGATTGGGCTGACCCATTGAGCTTCCACTGGCCGCGGATGGTGTTGCGTAGGAGGTCGGGATCGGCGCAAGTGGGCTTCCCGTTCACCTGATTGTAGGAGCACATCACACTGGCCACTCCGCCGTCCACGACACATGCTCTAAACGGCACGTCGTATGTATCCGCCAGGTCTTGCTTGCTCACCTGCATCACATCACACACAACCCCACTCTCTACGTTACCATAATTAATATAAACATCGGGACCATGGTTCAACGTCCCTTGCCCCCCCCCAACTTGTGCTTCCCCATATCCCCAAAAATCAAAGCTAATAAACTTTATCAACGTTTTCAAGCAGACGGCATCCCTACTTAGCCATCAAATATCCACAAAACGACACTGTCAATTACTCAAAAGTTTTCGTGGCCCAACTCCCCTTTCAACAACTTGCGCATTTGTCCGGTGTCATAAGGGGAAAAAATATTAAATGATACAAACACGCTTTTCTTTTCTTTTACATATATTTGTATTAATTTTATCAGAAAGAATAATTTTAGAAAATAAAATTAAAAAAAATCTTGTCTTGGCTTGAGACGCGGGGCGTGCATCAATAGTTAGATACATAAACATACCTTGGCGTTGAAGTGGAAGCGGTCAATGCCTTTCCAGTTATCGAGATCATAGGCGGTGTAGTGCTTGCAGCAGGCGGCAACCTTCAGGCGGTTGCCGGTGCCGTCGCCTTGGAGTCCCCGGACATAGTTGGCGGCGTACTTGGAGGCCACGATGGGGTCCTCGCCGGGAGTCTCTTGGCCGCGGCCCCACCGTGGGTCTCGGAATATGTTCACATTAGGGCTCCAGTATGTCAAACCGGCCATCCCTCCATTGTACATTGCCCTCGCCTCATCTGACACTACCTGCACCCATCATCACATATTGTCTTCGTCAACTCAACCTTTTCTTCCATTGTCGTTTGCCCAAACTCCCAAAATATTTTGCAAAGAAAATATTGGAAAAAAATCTAGCTTGTGTGGTTGCTAATGTGAAAGCGTTGTCTCAATAATATCTCTTCCCAACAGAATCTATATTGACGTTTCTCCGATATTTATTTATTCTTTTGAAGAAGAAAGAAGGACTGTGATTGGCCCATCATAATTACGCACACCTCATTTGAAGCTGATTAGGTTATTAGTGGTTGTGGCTCATTTGAAGCAAAAGCAACCAAACGGTGGCCTTTAAGAGAGACGCAGACACATAACATATGCACACTTCACTTTATTGGAGAAAGATGTCTATATATTTTCAATAACACTAATTATACGCATGCACGAAAAAAAAAAAAAAAAAGGATTCCTGATGTTATTGATGGCCTGACGTAAACTTCTTGAAATATAACCACCTAATTCAAACGCTGTTGCAAGTTGGGCTAGCCATATATCTAAGTCGGCAACCTGAGGACTTTCCCAGAGGTAATTAATACTAAAATGTGGAAATAAAAAAAGGTTATATCAAATCAACGATTCCTCACTTTTTGATAGACTTCACTTTTGAATAAATATAAAAATGGTTTTTTTTTCTTTAATAAATCGAGGGTGTATAAAAATGTCTACAGTGTTATAGTTGAAGTGCCTGGTCAGAGATATGATTTAAATGATAATTAACTATCTGGAGATGTTTAAATTATTCACGTCAGAATCTTCAGCTCAAACTTCAACACCTTGGTTGGTCGCACATGACGTGATTTATTTTAATACTTTGCTAATAAATGATGATTAATAAAACACCGGGGAACCTTGTCTGTATCGCCAACTCTGTAATAAAATTAAGAAATAAGAATAATACACTCCTGTCGCCCCCACTAGTTAGTTGTTCTCATTAGGGAAAAAAACACGGAGATGAAAAAATACAAATATTATGTAAGAATTATTTTTCTTAGTTTTACTCTTCATTTAATATTCCTGTTATTGAAAAAATAAGTAATAATCATTTAGAATAAGAATCTAAATTAGGATAAGCAGATAATCCAAGAGAAACTATCAATCTTAGACTTTGATCAATCATATAATAATTGAATTGATGTCACGAGTGACCAAAACCCAGGAAAGAAATTGAAGACAAGAACGAGTGAGTGTACTGTAAACACACGAGCGAAGACCAACCATCCCATACTTTGTTGTGTCGTTTTCTTCGTTATTTTTATGTTTGTTTGATGGCCTTTCAACGTCTCATCACATGGGGATGGGATGGAACCAAGTATTAAATTAACCATCCTCTCTTTTTATTTCATTTTCACCCATATTCTTCATCAGAGTTACTTTTAGCCCTCATATTCAGTCATCAAAGGTTTAAAAATTACACTACAAATAAAATTTATATCCCTAGCTTGGTAGTTAGGCTTCATGTTTAAATTTAATACAACCCTAATAATTAGCACTATGTGCATGATACTATATGTTTGACCTCTAGCTATAATTAATTTCACTGATTTTTATTGTTGTGTCCGATAAAAAGAAACCAAAAAAAAAAAAGGAAAATGAAGTAAGAATAGTCAAATATTTAACAAAATATTAAAAAAATAAAATTCTTAAATTAATAATTTAATCATGAAAATTTTAATCATTGAGATCAGATTTAAAGTTGAATGAAATATATATAATGAAAGAAAATTAAAGCTGTTGTTAGCTGGTGTATGTATTCAATTGGATTATGATGTATATTTATGAACAGATAATTAATAAGTTATCTATATATGGTTGGAAAAATAAAAGGACGAAATTTGGAGTTCACGGGCGAAAAAAGAAGAAGAAGAAGAAGAGAAGATGGAGCAGCCAATGAGAGAAATGTTACCCGTCCGATTTCGCGCCAGAGAGATTGGTTGAAGGAAGCAGCGGTGGTGATGACCTGAGGGAAGCTAGTGGCGCCAGGGAAGGCCCCACCGAACTTGGTTCCGGGACCCACATTAGAGACGCCGTGAAGCGCCTCCGACCACCACTCATACCCCTGAATACCCAGTCTCGGCACCGCAATCGCATTATTCACCACCAGCCTTATCTTCTCCGGCAATGTCAGCCTTCCGATCAGGTCCTGAACCCTCACATGAATCGGCACATTCGTCCTGCAAAACTTCAAGCTCCTCGTCAACCCATTCTTCGGGTCGCATGCAAACGGAACCCTCCCCAACCCAAACGACGACACACACCACAGAACCAGAACCAGGAAGAAGAAGAAGAAACGGCTCTTATTGTTATTGGCCATACTCATAAAATGAGACCCAAAGGAATCAAAAGGAAGGAGAGTGAGATAGAGAGCATTGAAGTATATGGTGGTGGCTATGGCTATATATATAGATATGTACAGGGAGATATGAAAGTTGCGTCTTGCAGAAGAGTTTGGTTGGGTTTGGGTAGAGATAGAATATTTTAGAGAGAAAGAGGGGAGTTCAATTCATGATTGGATTTCCACGTCGATGGAGTTCTTTAACGACTCAGAAACTAAACTCCCAAACTCAGATATAGATGTTATAATTAATTATTGTTGTGTTATTTACTTTTGGAGTGAGTTTATCAGTGTAAGACGCAGTTAGGCTCAGTGGGTTAGATATGGTTCGAGCCACTCCTACCCATTCTACTGGTTGTTTTCTTGCGGTTACTTAAGATATTTAAAGAACCTTTTAAATTAGCTAGAGTCGTCCCAAAGTTAACGTCTGAAACAAAACTACTAAACACGAATCACTCGATAAAATAGTATTCTCTGTATTTACTATGTTACAACTAAAGCTACCATTAATGTTCTTAATTAGATTCCTCGACTTGTTTGGTGTTAGACTCCAAAAGTTTCATATCTTCTTCTATGTTTTACTTTCCTATTTTCATCATCAGTTACGTTGAATTGCGGGGGTTCTGTATATTGAAATTTATAACCAGCTAGGGTTACTTTATTACCCGTGATCTAAATTTTTAATAATTTAGTGCCATAGCTGATCTGAAACTGGCGAGAGCTACCTATAATACCTAATATTATTGTGAATCATATATCTGTTAAAAAGAAACAAAACAGAAGGACCAAATACAAAGGTTTGGAATGATATTTTCCATATAGAACAGCTGGCCGAGTCATGTGCGGCGTATTGAAAATTATATACTATTCAACCCAAGATGCTCTTTAATTAATTTTGTGTTGACGTGAAACGTTTCATTTATATTATAATTATCACAGGTTGCTATTGGTCTTGTAAATAATATTTCTTCATTCGTCTGTATTCTCTCTTTATTATAATTAGGGTAAAACTTATGAAGTTGTATTATTAATTAGGAGGAGAATAAAAATGAAGTGAAAGAGCCAATTAAGTCCAAATATTTGACGATTTCTGAGAGTTCCCCCTCACCAAATACAGAGACTTTCGACGCCCAAGAAAAAATTTACTTTTTATTGGTGTTCACCAATATTGATCCAAGCAATTAATTTCGTACATGACGTAACTTGAATTGACTAATACACACAAAAATTATTTGACTGACCCAATAGTCTATACAAGTTTTGATTATATATATATATATATAAATATTAGCCATAATTTTTCTTTCTTTTTCTTTGCTTTGTTTCTTCTGTCAAGGTTATTTTTGTTTGCGTAGCTCAAAAAAAGAATGAAGATAAAAAAAATTATATTTTTGTTGTATTGTATGGACAAATACATGTACATGATTATTTATTCAAAAGAATCTAAGCCAACCTTGCTTTAAAAGGGTCCACAAGCTTTGATTGAGAAAGGAGACGAAATAAGATAAACACAAATACATGACTGGATAAGGGTGGCAAAAGCATAATATCCATTTTCTATATCTTTTCATGTGCTATAAGAAATATTTCAGAATAAATTAGTGCTACGCAATTCCAATATATATATTTATTTATTTATTTTAGTGACAGCAACGAGAGAGACAGGGTATGATTAAAATCACGAAATTGTTAGACGAGTATACGCAATGGTTTGATTTTTCTTGTGTTTCTCATAAACATTGTCAAGACCAGAGTACATAATACCACGTAATCTGGTCTGGTCTAATATTTGTTCCACATGTAAAAATCGTCTAAATTTAATTTATTGTGATTTTTTATAAGGATTTATTGTGAAGCTCTAACATATATAGAGTTTAAAAAAATGAAATAAATCTAAAAGTTTGCGGGAAATTCACCTTCTCCTCCTCTCTGTTTTAAACTTTACTATTCAACTTTTTTAAAATATTTTTTTCTCACACTAAATTCTACGGGATTTTACGTTATGTAAAATTAATAAACCATATATAATTCAGACTGGTATACAGTGTTTTCTCTCAAAGAAAAGCATGAGATTTTTTTTAGATATTTCTAGGCACAAACATGTATTTTTCATAATTTAATTGAGTTATACTATTGACAAAAAAATTAATAAATAAAAAAATTCAGATATCAATATATATAAATTTAACTATATGCAAAACAGAGTATGATGGGGAGATAAAGCGTGTGTTTCAACGTTTTTAGGGAGAATGACTAAAAGCCTGCGGTGGTTTCCCTTTCGCAAAATCCCCAGTATTATAGGGTGCAAATTAAAGCCTTCTTTAGTACAAGATCATATATTAATTTATGAGTGATGATTATAAAAATTTGGACTTATTATATTAGTTCTAACGAAAATTCTGTTACTTATATAAAATTAGCAAGAAATAGGTATTATATTCCCCCTTTCTAGTGATTAATCACAATAATTGGAAGGAATGAGTTGAAAATTAATGGAATATTTTGGGATGGGACCTTCTAATTAGTTATTGGATCAGTAAGTACAACGTCAATAGACGAAGTTTTGTTTTTTTGCCCTTTTGTTTTCATCATTTTTTAAACACAGCTGATTATTATACGTCCTTTAATTTACCTGGCATTTCCTCCAACCGGATGAATAGGCACCTTTTTTGTGGCTTCTAAAAGGTTAACCTTCAATTTTTAGTTAAGCACCAATGATGAAGGAATAATTGGGTAAATGAGGACAAATTTGGGCATAACGAAAGGAGCACCAACCAATTTCATGGGACAAACTTCAACTTGAAGCATCGTCAGCACAAGCACTGATTAATATCATAGAACCCTTTTTATACATGTGACGTACCTTAAAATCAATAAGATCAGCCTCAAATCATATTGATTCTTTAAAAATTAACATATTGACGTATGATTTGAAGCCAAGTTTATCCTTAAACGGTACAATGAATCAAATATTCCAAACTCTCATCACATCATATAACGAATAGCCCAAATTAATTAATTAACCGACCATTAACCTTTGAGTGAAATAAATTTAGTTAAAAAAATGTTTCTATATGAAGATATAGATGTAGATATGAAAATTTAGTTAAGGATGTCGGTGTTGTACTTCGTTGGAGGATCAAACTAGTAGGTCGCCCTGTTTGGTTGATGTGTCTGTGGGGCCTTGTGTCATTTAACAGAATTCACAGAGACAATGTAACAGATTGTATATTGACTCAACATCGGACATAAGTTCTTACACTATATTTAACCGACGGAACGGGCACTGTAAGGGGACAATAAGTACATAAGCTCATCGATTTGATTCCTAATTAATACGGTTTCATTAATTATTAACTAGTTGTTGAAAGTTTGGGATCTCCTTTTTTGCTTGCCCGAATTGAATTGCCATCTTCATATATACACGATAGTTTATAACTGATTTGCCAGATGATGCCCCCAAATTATATATAAGAAATATTTCCTTTTTTTGGCTTTTTCTTTTAATTATGGGGTGAAAATAAGCCATTGGAGGCCGGTGTCTGAAATATCTATTGAACAGAGTGAAGATTGATACATAGAGGCAGCGGGTTCACCTAAATCGCAATCAATAAACTAACTTAAGAAATCTAGCTTCTAGAAAAAGGATAACTCACCAAATAAAACTTCAGAATTGGAGCTCTCAAATAGAAGTTCAAAGTCATGAAACAGTGAGAGCTGTGTTAATTTTAACTATGCATGTCAGTTTAATTAAGATGGCACAAACTGTGATAACGTACGTACGTTGGTGTGCGTTGATGATTAATTAAATAAAGAGAATATCAGAGGGATTGAATTTACACGAAGGAATATGATATCTTGTGGGAATGCCAACCTGGAAGCTATCTACTTTGAGTGTGACATAGCCTTCAAGCACCACTTCTCTGACTCTGATCTCTCTTCTCTCTGTGCGTATTTAGAGAGAGAGAGAGAGAGAGAGAGGATAGAGATTGATGATGTGGAGAGGGTAAGCGGGAAAACGAAGATGGAGGGGGAAAGAGGAGGATAGAAGAAATGGACCCACACCACAAATCCTATCTGTAATACCATAACTTTGGATCGTAAGCTTACTATCTATTTTGGTTACCTCAAGTGTAATCGATCAACTCCAACTTTTTTGGCCGGCAACTGGCTCATGCATGCCTATCCCTACACGTCACCTTCAATCTCAATCATTCTAATATAAGAATTTATTACGTCATATGCTTAATGTAATATCTACTTAATTAGTTTAGATAGATTAAAAGAACTAGTTAAATTAGTTATTTATTAAAAATATATTGGTTTTTCTAAAATATCTTCTTTGGTTTCTCTGAACTACTCTCTTATGTTGTTTACACTGAAACTATCCTGTGATATAAACACTTTTAAGATGTGTAATAAGAAGGAATAAAATAACAATATTTTTTAATTTACAATTTTCTCTCATATTAAATATAAAAACTAGTTGAAAAGTTTGTAATCGGTTATTTTAATGATATAAGGTATGTTTGGATTAGCGGTGGAAGAAGTTACTTTTTTTCAATTTGACTTTTACAAAAGTGAGATTAGGTAAAAGTTAGGTAGTGTAATGTGATTTATGTTTGGATTGGTTTTTGTAAAAAAAATCAGTTTAAGAAGTTAAAACTTGTTTGGATGATTAATAAAAAAGTAAGTTTAGATATAAAATGACTGAAAAGGACATAAAATTTAGGGGAAATTGCAAAAAAAGACCTTGGAATTGTAAAAACGCAGATAGGGACCCTTGACAACTTCACTTTGGGTTTTGACAAGAATAATATGCCCTGAGTTGTCAAAACCCAAAGTGAAGTTGTCAATGGTCCCTATCTGCGTTTTTACAATTCCAAGGTCTTTTTTGCAATTTCCCTAAAATTTATTAAATAGTATATATTTATATTATATGTTTATAATGTGATAATTGTCAGAGAAAAATTAAAATTAAAATTATAAAAATAAAAATAGTTATCTTTTAAAAAATAATAAATTTATTTTTTTAAATGATTTT